AAGTGGGAAACTTTGCGACAGAAATTGTGGAGCAAACTCGGATGCCCTCGGTTTGATTTTAGATTACGGAGGTGTACCGTCTAATCGAATAAAAAATTGTTGCAACTTGACCGGGACGAGTGATTCCGACAAATCGACAGTATGCACGAAGTGGTAGGACGGACGTGGAGGAAGGGTGGAAAAGTTGAGAGGAAAGCAGGGATCGGAGCAGGGCAATTCGCAAGCAATTCTCCGCTCGCCTCCGGCGATCCTCGGGTGGTCCTCGGCCGAGGGGTCGGAAAGAAACCATAAAGAGGCAGGAAACCGGGGAAACATGCCGTGAAAATTAATATTCCAGACAAACGTGACAGATAGATCAAATCTGCATCTCACCGGGACCGACCGGGTGTCAATTTCGGGGGATTACCGTTTCCCACCCTCGCGCGTGTCCCCGGCGACGTCTCCGACGGTTCCTCCAATCTGCCTTCCGGAGGTGCGCGTCTCTCCCTTTTCCTTCCTCCAAGCCGAAATCTTTTTCCTCGGAAAACGTATTCTCCACCCTCGAAGACCATCCCTTGAATGATATTTGCGAGGCGTTAACTAATTCGCTTAAATATTCCGATATCACTAGAAGGAAGTGGGTTGATTGCGAAGTCTGTTCTTTCGGCTGGAGATTCAAAATAATTATCCCTTATTATGTCATATTTCTTCCTCCACCCTCTAGGATGCAGCCGAATACCTCGATAACACCGGAATTAGTAACGATTAGTGTTAAAAATACGATCTAACACTTCTGGAGTTTCAGAACATCATCCCTTAAAACGAATGGTTGAGACGTAACCTTAAAAACCATGCATCCCCTTTTCCCTCCATTTTAACCTCCTTGAATTGAAATTCTCTGCAAACTCTTGTATCGCGCAATGAAGAAATCGTAATACCGATCGTAACGTAAGACCAGCAAGATACCACAAACCTAACTTGATCCACCTCTCACCCTTTGGTATCCTCCCCTCTATCAGTCCTAACCTGCAAATTTCTTCCACTTTACTTTAAACTCTTAATTAAATTCACTCTAAACCCTTGAAAAATAAAACCATGAAACTCTTTCAGACGCCCAAAACATAAAAAACCCAGCTGGTCCCTTCTATCACCCTTTGATATCATCTCTATTTAATGCTCATCAGCATCCAAAGCCCCACAGTAGCGCAATTAATGTAATTTACCTTTTCGATCACTTTTTAGATCCTCAGCCCACGTCTCCAATCCCACATTAAGACCCTGGTCTTATCCCGATCCCTTGACAATTAACCGATTACAAGAACGAAGAACAGGTGCATCGGACACCGCTACAGAATTCAGAAGAAGCAGGGACACGTTCCGGACACGTGGATACATTACGGGGATGCATCTCGTTTACCGGGCGAGCGATCGGGCACCCCTGTGCGTGCGGGCCATCATCGCACGCGTTTTACCTGATCGCACGCACGCGGAGCAGCGGTTGGCTCGTGCGCACCACGTGGCCGGACAATGGGACGATTCTAATTGGGCTGCGACTCGTCCGGCAACAAAAAATCCGACAAAAACGCGTCGAAAAGGGCTTGGGGAGCGGGGCCGTATGGCCGGCGGGAGCGGGATGAGCACGAGCGAGCGAAGGGTTAACTCGGATTTTTGGGGGAGGGTCGAAGGACAAGAGTCGCCCGAGAAAGGACTCCTCCAACTCTACAGGGACATCCGGTGGCTCGAGACCGGCTGCGGCATCCTGAAATCTCGATTAAGGACGCTGGAACCGCGGTTCCTTTTCTTCGGTAGAATGGAAGCCAGTCTTTCTGGTGAGGGTCGAGAAATGATTTATTTATCCTAGTTTTTTCTGTCTTTCAGAAACTAGTTGGTTTCATTTGGTTGGATCTGGTAGCTGTAAAATGATGCGATGGTTGGGGGATGGTAAAGATACACCTGGTGCTACTGTTGATGAGGTGGGGGCTGGGGCAGTGGTGTCTGGTGAAATGGTAAATGCAAAAGTATGATAGATTTTTTGTTGAATTTTCCAAGTTTTGTTATAGGAATATCCGGTGATTCAAGAACCGATTAAGCCATCCTGAAATCTCGATTAAGGACGCTGGAATCGCGGTTCCTTTTCTTCGGTAGAATGGAAGCCTGTCTTTCTGGTAGGGGTCGAGAAATGATTTATTTATCCTAGTTTTTTCTGTCTTTCAGAAACTAGTTGGTTTCATTTGGTTGGATCCGGTAGCTATGAAATGATGCGATGTTTGGGGGATGGTAAAGATACACCTGGTGCTACCATTGATGAGGTGGGGGCTAGGGCAGTGGTGTCTGGTGAAATGGTAAAGTCAAAAGTATGATAGATTTTTTGTTGAATTTTCCAAGTTTTGTTATAGGAATATCCGGTGATTTAAGAACCGATTAAGCCATCCTGAAATCTCGATTAAGGACGCTGGAATCGCGGTTCCTTTTCTTCGGTAGAATGGAAACCTGTCTTTCTGGTGAGGGTCGAGAAATGATTTATTTATCGTAGTGTTTTCTGTCTCTCAGAAACTAGTTGGTTTCATTTGGTTGGATCTGGTAGCTGTAAAATGATGCGATGGTTGGGGGATGGTAAAGATACACCTGGTGCTACTGTTGATGAGGTGGGGGCTGGGGCAGTGGTGTTTAGTGAAATGGTAAATGCAAAAGTATGATAGATTTTTTGTTGAATTTTCCAAGTTTTGTTATAGGAATATCCTGCGGCATCCTGAAATCTCGATTAAGGACGCTGGAACCGCGATTCTTCTTCTTCGGTAGAATGTACGCGTCTTTCTAGTGGGGGTCGAGAAATGATTTATTTATCCTAGTTTTTTCTGCCTTTCAGAAACTAGTTGGTGTCATTTGGTTGGATCTGGTAGCTATGAAATGATGCGATGTTTGGGGGATGGTAAAGATACACCTAGTGCTACTGTTGATGAGGTGGGGGCTGGGGCAGTGGTGTCTGGTGAAATGGTAAATGCAAAAGTATGATAGATTTTTTGTTGAATTTTCCAAGTTTTGTTATAGGAATATTCGGTGATTCAAGAACCGATTAAGCCATCCTGAAATCTCGATTAAGGACGCTGGAACCGCGATTCTTCTTCTTCGGTAGAATGTACGCCAATCTTTATAGTGGGGGTCGAGAAATGATTTATTTATCCTAGTTTTTTCTGTCTTTCAGAAACTAGTTGGTGTCATTTGGTTGGATCCGGTACCCGTGAAATGATGCGATATTTGGGGGATGGTAGAGATACACCTGGTGCAACCGTTGATGAGGTGGGGGCTGGTTTAGTGGTGTCCGGTGAAGTGGTAAATGCGATAACGTGAAAGGTTTTTTGTTGCGGAATTGTGCAGGAGGAATTTTGCAAGTTTTATGCCACATATTAGATCCGATGTTAGGATCAGAAAGGGGGACTTTTCAGTAGCGTATAATATTTAGAAAAAGAACGTAAAGTACGGGAATTCGAGGCTCTCTATCGAGACTTCAACGTCTAAGAATAATCGAAAGACATTTTTGATTGGAACAAGGAAGTGAGTTAAAAGTTTCTTCGACAGTTAAACGTTTCTTCGGGTGAAAAGTAACCTTCTTGACCATTTTCAATCCTCGTACGTGCACAACTGGCACGTTTTCGAGCGATTGCGAATTTATGAACTCCGAATCGACCCTACTCCCAACTCATTCCTTATTACGAGGGTATTCATCGAGCGTTGCGCTCCTTTTCCCAAGAGAGGCAGAAAAGGCGGGGCAGAAAACGCTCCAGAAAAAGGGGGGAAAGCGTTACACTTTTCACACGCGTTAACGGGCATTCTGGCGACACCCGCGCGTTAACCCCTTTCGAAATCTGACAATGTGGCTGCGACAAAGGGTGAGTTTCAGGCCGCACCCCCGAAAGCGGAGCGCTTTAAATTCAAAAATCGAATCCCCCGAACGCCATTGTTCGCGATCGTTGGCCCATGTCGGACATCACATGGCAGCGAGGTAACAGTACTTTAAACTCCCTTTTTTATTCACGATCGATGCACCACTTTCGATCACCGGGTGGACTCGGTTGCGATGATTTCATGTGGTCCGTCTCTCTGCTGTCGAGCTCCCGAAAGATAAAAACAAAACGGAAACGCGTCCCCCTGCAGATTAACGGCCTCGAGATGATGATAAACCACGTGACGTTTTTTGTAAAATAAATTAAATGATATGTTCTCCTTTTGTGGCGTTAACTTTTTATCGCCGTTGCTTCAACCATCTGCCACTGAACAACAAATAACTCGTCAACGAGAAACTTCCCACTTTTCACGAAGAACGTGTCCTGACAGTTGTTAAAAAGTCGCAAAACGCGAGAACCCGTCTGGATGTTTCGAATCGCGTCTAACTCTGCAAAGTGAACACGAAGACTAAGGAAGGTCCTGACACCCATACAATTTCAGGTTCTATTGAAATGGTTTAAAAATGTCTATAAACAAATTTAAAGAAATTAAAATTTCATGGATGGCAGAACCTCCATTGCAGCCACCATATTCACATTCTACGGTTTCAAGCCATTCGGTACGTCTAGTTCGGAGAAAAGTTTCGTAAGACCTCTTTGCCACCACTTTCACATCACCTTAAGACAAAAGCCCCCCCGAACTTCCTCCTCAGCCAAACACCGATTGACAAAACCCAAAACAACCCTACATCGCGCCAAGGGATCCTGAACGGAAAATAATCTGAGAAAGAAAACGGAACCCTTCTCCTTCCGGCAGCCCTCAACATTCCAGAATTTAGATCGCCAAGATTTCTGCTAGATTCAGAAAAGAAGTGCTTATGAGGTCCTCGCTGTCAACTCTATACACCGATGCACCGATACATCCCGTAAGATATCCAAAGTTAAGCGAAATAGTTAATCAAAACCAAAGTTATCCTAGATAGATGACTGTCAGGGAGGCGTTGGACAACCAATAGTCCCAGGCCCTTATAAAAGGACCGAAATCTAAAATCCAGAAACTAAACCAAATGTGGTCCTTACCGGAGTTGACGGTGTTGGTGTCGGCGTTGACGGACTCGGTCTTCTGCTTCTTGGGGAGGTCCTCCTTGTCCTCCTCCTGGCCCTCCGTCCGCCTCTTGGGGGTGGAGCTGGCGTTGGCCCTGAGCTCTATGGGGCTGCCGCCGTCCGGGCCGGAGCCCTGGGGGGTAGGTGGACTCTCGAGGCGACTACCCCTCTTGTTGATGGGGGCAGATATGCTCGGCACCGAGCTCACCTTCTCCTGCTCCGCTTTCAGGGCCAGGGCGTCTTCGGGGTCGGAGTCCTCCGGAGCCGCTGCCGGCGGAGGGCTGTGGCAGCCCTGAAGGGAGCTCCGACAGTGGTTAACCTTGTGCTCGATAAACCGCACGATATCGGCTAGGGGGTAGGAGGCTCTGCAGCCTCCGCATTGGACGGTGTCAGGCGAAGAGCCTTGCGAAGTTTCCGCTGCAACAGACAAACGGAGCCAAACTTATTATTCGAGTATTTAGGACATGTATCGACGGAAAATTGCGTCTTTGCTCTAGTCTTGTATACGCTGTGTGACGGTCATATAATATATATGTATTAGAAGTTCCTCACTTCACGGGCCTTCGATAGACCAGCAGTACGCTCATCGCTTGTGCCGCAAAGTCTCTCGGGTTCGAATCCCGCTCAGGAGAGATTTTTTAGGGTCTAAGGCAGGATTTGCCTGATAAACCTTACCTACGAGTCCACAGGCAGACCCGGGATGTAACACAAAAACTGGGAACAACAAACGTATATACGTCAAAATATTTATACAACTTTTCTCCAAATAGGATGCACCGAATAATTGGAAACTTCAGCACGTGAGTATGGGGGCCCTAAGGAAGAACGCGATGCTAGTGAAATTTCATTTTCCGAAAAAAAATGTTTTTTTAATTCTTGTTCGAGATAAATACAACATTTCGTTTGGAAAATGAAATTTCGCATGCATCGCGTTCTTTCTTAGGATCTCCATAATCACGCGCTAAAGTTTAAAATGATTCGGTGCACCCAGTTTGGAGAAAAGATTTATATGTATAGAATGATCCTTTTATATCACCTTAAAAAGGTGTCTATATTTCGAACACTTTTGAATACAAGTGAACGTTAATACCGAAAATAGTGACACTCTGAATGAAATCGAGATACACGTATAGGTGCTAAAATTTGAATTACCTTGATTCCAAAATCAATGATGTTCATTATTTAACGTAATAGGCGGGGTATATTGCTCATTATTTAACGTAATAGCGAGTATCATTGTTTGGGAAGAGCAGGTTACGTCAAAGTGTGGTACCGTCCGTAAAATAGGGGGTCAAACATCTGCTGTCTTGTGGATGCACCGAGGGTTGCATTCAATGCAGTAGATTATAATTCGCATTCAGTGATTTGTTTGAAAATGACGTTAGAATGTTTTAATTCCGGAGGAAAAATGAAAATTCCGCTAATTGTCGGACAGTTTTCTACGTGGTTTCGTCAACAGTCGTGGGACTACCATATTTGTCCCTCCTCTGTAAATAGGGTACGACTATGTGGAATGGTTACGGGGCTAAAGTACCCCCGAAAAGTGTCTTTTCTCTCGGAAGAACCTTTTCTCTTGGGATTATTTCGGAAAAAAAGCTGCGCAACAATGCAGCCTTAGTTCGCTTTCCTTGTATATTTACTCACTCATAAACGCATGGCAGGAAGAATTTCGTTCTCAGCATTGTGAGGTGAAGTACCTCTTGCGGAGTATGTATAACAACATTAATTCCCGACTTAAATTTATGCGACTCGGCGAATACAAGGAGCGAGCGCCAGTTGACTCACGGGAGAAGATTCCCCAAGGTAGCATGGGATTTAATTTTAAATGGGAGCTTTTAATGACCGTTCGTGCACGGTAATTTGCATTAATGCCCGGACCTCGTCATTAGAAGTTAGGGAAATTGCCATGTTATGATTACATCCGGAGCAACTGGACGATTCGCGGATGGCCAGGGTGGATCTTTAGTTCTATACACATCCCGCCGTGAAAGGCGCTCATTATGTACGTAGACGCTAAGTATCTTTTGTGTTTGGCAAGGGGGTCAAGGCCAGAGCAAAAGGTACACATCCTACAACGGTAAGCAATAAAATAATACCAGAGAAAACGCACAGACCGGTCCGAACACATGGACAAGGGCCTTAATATAAATTATACCACGTTTGACGTCATTTTTATTTCCATGCACGCGTCTGAAAACTAAAACCCTCATTTATCGTCCAAAATCTTCGCTACCCCGGGCAAAAGCCTTTAAATCTACCCCCCAAAACCTTTCCAATACCTAACATTTAATAACAACACAAACATTTACAAGGGCAACTCGAGAAAGAAGTTTCTGTATATCACCCAAAAAGACCCAGAGGGGCGACGGAGGGTTAACGAAACAAAGTTAATAAGTTCCCTGCTAATCGCACTCGGTGCCCTAGGTCCGTTAAATATTGATAAAAGTCGCGAAAAGTCCTTTCCAATGTTTCGTTCTCCCCGCGTCGGCGTCGAATACGCGTCGGTTCGGCCGTCGCCAGGACGCATAATTCACCGTAAAGACGATTCGGCCACAAGAGAGGTCCTGAGGTCACCCGCAGACGTCACAATTCACTTTTAGGGTCCTCCAGGAGCATTCCTGGCAAGCATCGCCGCCTCGGCGTATCCCCTCGACCGCGCCGACATTAACATAGAGATTGGCAGGAGTTCATATATCGATCTTTTTCCCCGGCACTCGAGAGCGCCATATTCATCCGTTGGCTGGCCTGCCAGTTCGGGAAAACAAGTCCGTCTACCCCGAGGTCCTCCTCGTGGCTGCCTGTGTGTCGGCCCGCACAGGTTCGCCTCCTCTCTCTCGCCCCGGTGGGGAGCGCGATAGGCGGGTCTCTCTCCTACTCGCGGGACTCGCCAGGGGTGGCGCGCATCCCTCTGCCCTCTTCCGCTTTTATTTCCGCGACTCTCGTGTCGTTCCGCCCCGTGCCCACATCCCGTCCGTTTTCCCCCTTTCCTCGACCGAAGCTCTCCCGCTCTTTCGTTATTTACAGGTGCTTCCGGTGCGCCGAGGACGCGGTTCGATTCTTTCGGGGCGGGTCCCGAGGGCTTGACCACTGGCCAGGGCGCAAACTCGACGTCCAGGCCACTCCTTTGGCTCGCACGAGTTTTAAACCCCTTCCAGAGAGGGATGAGAACCGAGTAGAGGGGGTGCCTCAAAGGGGCCGACTGCGCACTCGCCATGTCGGCCTTCGGCCCAAGGTGGAGACACTCGAGGTGTCAGGCCGAATTCCGGTGCAAGTTCTTTGCGCGTGGTGTGCACGCCGAGTACGAATAGATGCAATCGAGGGGTTATTCACTCAGGAAACAATGGATTTTAATGCTGGAAGTCATTGGAAATCGTTGAACATTCCCGACACGTTCTCACAATTTTGAAGTCGGACGTCAGCTGTTACCGAATCGCATTGCTGTTTATCATATGAAATCAAAGGCAATCGGTTATCAATGAAGGAAATAGGACTGATATGGCATCGGACCCCACATTTTTTGTTACTATTTATTTCCGAACGCAGTTTTGGAGACTTGAGCTGGAGATTGGATTTTAACGCGTCGAACGCGAAGATAATTTTGTTACACTTTTCAATTGAGCGACATAGTTCTTTTACGTAGAATTATTGACGCCATGTCGATCACATGGGACCGACATGGCGGTTCGAGAGTTAATTTCACTTTTCCTGCTTACCAGAAGATTTTTTACTGAATAAAGTTAAGCGGTAATAATGAAAATCGATAAAAGAGATAATGCAAACTTGAGTAAGATTAGAGAAAAGGATCACTAATATTTCTATGCGAGCTGTGCCCTCGACAAAAAATATGCAGTACTTAAAAGTCAAGGCTGGGCATATCCGATAATTGTACGCATTGGTTAGTATAGTGAAAAGGAGACTATAACCATATCTTGGGGATTGCAAGTGTCTTTAAAACGTTGACTGCCACGTCACCCATATTCGGGTGACATACCAGTCAAATAAAATGCGCATGGCAATCAACGTGTTAAACCAAAATTGAATAATTGTCTCTTTACGTTATCTTAAGAGATATATGTTATTTCCTGATTTATGTGATTTTTACTTTCGAGTCTTGTGATTTTTTTTTCAGCGGGTAGGATATTTTTCCTGAAACGAAGGTGCATGAATTATAATTTGAAATTCGGTTCTAACTACTTTCGATGAAGTGTCCGTCCCTTCTAAAATGCACCTTAAAAAAGAGCCGAAGATAGAACATACAAAAATGGCGAGACCCAAGTCATCATCACGAATGCAGCATTTACCCAAATAAACTCCCCGGCAAAGAAGCGCCTTAAAAACGAAGTGTCCCGCCGATGTTTCCCCTGAGAACCGAAATTCCGGCAAGACGTCGAAATGAAGAGAAAGAAAACTGTATAAATAAGAGAAAAAAAAAAAGAACCCTCGGCCTTGGAAACCGCGATAGAATCCGCGAAAGGCAGAAATTCATTCCCTCGCCGCAACTCCATCGAGGTGGGCAGAAGGAGAGGCGAAAAGCAGGGACGAGAAAGATGACGGAAAAGAGAGCAAGAAGGACTTGGGACGGAGAAGAAGCCGAGAAGAGAGTCGTTGAATGGACCTCGAGTCCGTTATTCGCCTACGATTGAAAAGCGCTCGGTTAGAAACAAGAGACCCGCGACCGGTCGTTAGCGACAATAGGCTTTTGTTTTTTCGGGGGCAGATGTTGGACCAGACTCCGGTCCACGTACCCCAGGGTAGTGTCGGGGTAGCACGGGGACAGCACGGGGTAGCACGACCATCCCAAGGAGGAGGTCCGGCGACAGGTCTGAGGGGTCAATGGGGATGAGAGACGAGACTCCGAGATGAAACCTTTTTCTTCGAGGATGGACCCTCGCGTTTGTTTGCCACGCGTCGAGAAAGGCCAAGACCATCTCTGTGCAAGATACTGTGTAGCGGAAAGCGAAGCAACTAACAAGGAAAGTACTCCAGCTGTACCTCACAGGTTGTCGATCTCTTGGTTCCGATGCTGTGGTTCGTCGGAAAATAATACGAAGGGACAGGAATTTTTTATGCGCGATAAATCGCGAGTTTAAAGTGATACGAAAGAATTATTGGGGATGAGAGACGAGACTCTGAGATGAAACCTTTTTTTTCAAGGATGGACCCTCGCGTTTGCCACACGTCGAGGAAGGCCAAGACCATCTCTGTGCAAGATACTGTGTAGCGGAAAGCGAAGCAACTAACAAGGAAAGTATTCCAGAAGAAATTTTAATAATGACATACGTCATCAAAACCGTTCGTTAACTTTTTGCCACGCGTATGAATACCTATTTTATTAAAAATGATTAAAAGTCCCGCGCCGTTTTCAAAAGCACTTACAGTGCCCTGACATCGGTGCGATTGATTTCATTCAGTATTTA